CACCGATTTAATCCCTGGCACTACATATAGTCCCCCAAACCTGCCAGGAGTAAGTTTTGAGCACAGCTTGATATGGAATAAAAATCAAAAATAATAATAGTGAGAGAGAATTTAAAGATAATTTGGACCAGCCAAAATTAGAAACTCAGATGAATTTTCATGCAAAAAATTAATCATTGCATTTAAGAAAGCATTGACATATAATTTATAGAAAAATAAACACTGTAAAAATAGATTATGCACATAATACCAAAAAAATAAGCAAACTATTAAATATCTTGTAGATGTTTTAAACTTTACATATATCAAATAAGTAAAAAGAATAAAATACACACTTAAAATTATTTTAGAAAGATGGAGAATTTATAAAATTCTATACTTACTATTCTTAATTGTTACTTAATATCAGTTCTGGGTTGGAGCAATAGCACAGCGGTAGGGCGTTTGCCTTGCACGCAGCCAACATGTCCAACCCGAGTTCGATTTCTCCGCCCCTCTCGGAGAGCCCCGCAAGCTACTGAGACTATTGAGCCCGCATAGCAAAGCCTGGCAAGCTCCCAGTGACGTATTTGATATGCCAAACACAGCAACATCAAGTCTCACGATGGAGACGTTACTGGGCCCGCTCGAGCAAATCGATGAACAACGGGAGGACTGTGACTGTGAATATCAGTTCTAATTATTCTTGCTGTTCATAATTTTTTTTAAAAAACATGCTTTATTTTATTTTATTTTTGCTTTTTGGGTCACATCTAGAGATACACAGGGGTTCCTCCTGGCTCTGCACTCAGAAATTACTTCTGGCAGGGCTCAGAGGACCATATAGGATGCTGGAAATTAAACCCAGGTCTGCCCAATGCAAGGCAAACACCCTACCCACTGTGTTATCGCTCTAGCCCACACTGTTCATAAATTTTTAGGCGGAAATGTTAAAAATCATTCCATATAAAACATGAAATAGTAAATGAAATGTGTATGTTAGGCAATTCAGAGAATTTTATTCTAGGAAAATGATTCACATGATTAAAATTTTACATTTAATATATATTTAATCACTCAACTTGTATAGTAATAAAAATAAATTTTTAATCTCAAAATAAGAAAATATTAAGAGACTGTTATGTAAATATCAATAGTTATAAGGAACATGTAGCAGTATAAAAAAGACAAAATACTAAATGAATAAGAAAATGCCATTATGTGACACCAAGCATATAAAATATACATGTGGTTAGAAAGCAAAAATTGAAGGTATTTGTTAAATTGTTGTGGAAATATTATAGAATATTTTCCTCTTCTTTTCATATCTGATAAAATAATATTTTGTAGGTCTTTTTACTCACTTTTTGCATTTTTATTGAAATATAATTGATATACGACATCGCCACAGAAGCACGATGTAATGATTATATAACAAAATGATCACAATAAGTGTATCATTCCTCCTCGTATTGCAATATTTTCTGGTAACAAAAAATTTTAAGATTTACTCTTGCACTAACTTTCATACATACAGTTAACGCTATTATTACTAGTTAACAATATTGTTAACCATTGTCACCATGCCCTACTTCTCCTCCCCTGGATTTATCATACAACTGGAAGTTGGTACTTTTTAACTTCCTTTACCTATTTGGCCTGCCCGCCCCAAATTCTGACAGTCATCAGTTTGCTCTCTGTATCTGTGAGCATGCCTGTTTTGTTTTATTTTAAGATCCTACATATAAGTGAGATCATATGGCATTTGTCTTTCTAACAATTCACTTGGTATGAACCCATAGACCCATCAATATTGTCACAGATACCAGAATATTATTCTTTTAAATGATGAATAGTCTTCCCGTGTGTAGGTATACCACATTTCCTTGATTCATTCATCTATTCACAGACACTTAACTTGCTTCCATATCTTAAATATTGTGAATAATGCTGCAATAAATAGCGGGGTGCCATAATTTTCAGTTAGTGTTTTAGTTTCACTTCAGATCCCAGAAGTATATGGACGTGCTGAATAGTCTGATATTTTTTTCTGCAACTTCTGTGTAATTTCTCATAGTGACAGCTGAATAATATTCCCTCCACACTGGATTCCTTTTCTAAACATTTTTGCCAATGCTTATTATAAAAAAACATTGTATACTTTTGATAGGCCTTTGCCTCTTCTCTTTACATTCATCTCAAAGATATTAGTGTAAGAAGGTGAAAACATTACATATCTTCTATAAACTTTACAGCATCCCCAAATTTCTCAATGTTGTAGACAACTATAATAAAGAGAAGTGATAATTTGGCCCCATTTAAATCAGAGAACTGAAGCACTGGTTATAAAATAATTCAGAGGCACCATATCTTCAACAACATCCATACATTTATTTCACAAATTTTCTTGATTTATTTTTGGTTTATACAATTTCAAGAGTGCATGTCTGTACCTCATTTGGTACCTATTTTTAGGTATCTTAAAAATAGAAAAAAAAACCAAGAAACTCTAGCCCTTAATCCAAACTTCTAAAGTCAATAACTTGAAAGATTTGTTTTCTAGCAAAGCCTTATCATCTGCAAGAAGCAAAGATAACCTAATCCACAGTTATACAAGTATTATTTTAAAATGCCATCTGATTGTGAGTATCATAAACAATGCCCTATGTTTATTTCATGACGAATAGTCCTCAAAATAGCCCTCTCCAGCAATATGTTATCCTTTTATCAAAATATAAAGGCTAGAAATGCTCTTTCATATCTTAGAGTTTCAAGTTCACCCTGCAGCCAATAGAAAGCGAGGGATTTTCACTGAAATGCCCTCCAGCAGTTTGTATGCAGATGGCAAAGCATACTCACTTTCTTACCCAAGCCGAAGCGCAAATTAAGGCTTCATGACAGAGACTGATGCAAAACTAATGTGCGTTATCAGTGAGTTTGTGTTTTTCAGGTGGGACACAGGAAAAAGTGTCACCGTCAAAATAGCATTGAGTCACATGCTTCTAAGCACTCGTTCAATAGACAGCCAGTTGCAACCTGCATTTTACTTGGGTGCTGCAGTGTTTCATAGCTTGGCTTGGGTGAACCTTATAAATCTCTTTGCTGCTTTCCTCCTAGGTAGAATAAAGAGAAGGAACAGTGAAATCTAAGGGGAATTGTGCGTTTAGACACCACAGGGGTTATTCCATTTTTGCTATATAAAAGAAATCTTGGTATAGCCCAGCCTCTGAGGGTCTAAAGGAGCAGAGGCAAAGCAAGATGCCTCTTAGTTGCAGTACAGAGCCATGTTCTCTGCTGGGAGCCCTTCAACTAGAGCAGAGCAATCTTCAAGGGACGTTGTACAGAGATCTGTCTCCATCTCCTTTTTTTCCCCCTCAGATGATTCTGTTGGACTTCTTACGTCCTTGCGGAGAGGCAGGTCAGCAAATGACTCAGATCGCCCAGCTTCTGGCAAAGAGGAGCTTGCTAAAGAAATTCATACAGAAATCTAGTTTAGTTTGCATGCAGAGTGAGGCCGATGTATGTACATACTGCTCAGAAAACTCACACAATCTTATAGGCAATAGCCCAATTTAGAAGGCATTTAGGAATGAATTTGTTCAAATATTGTTTGTGCTTTCCAGCCTCGCTAGCATGCAGAGTTTGGCCACTTGTGTGCTTTATTATGACACTAGACTTGTGATTTAGGCTACTTTCATGGTAAGCAATTAAGACTTACCGATTTCCACTGAAATCACGATCTTGATGATGATTCAATTACTGGCAATTCATCACAGGGGGTTGTAAGGACTTGCTCAGATGTTGCAGAATGATTTGGTATTTGCTGCATGGAATAGCTCTCTTCCAGCCCCTGATGTGGAATTGAAATCACTACAAAATAGACAGCGAAACATATACATAATAAATTTTTACCAAATTGGATTTGAAGTTAACAAACATTACAGTGAAAAAATTATTTTAGAAACATTTGCAAGATTTTGAAAACTGAATTATTCATCCTTATTCACAAGCTTGCTTGTCATTCTATCCCTTCCTTCCTTTGTTCTTTTTTTCTTTCTTTATTTCCTTTCTTTTCTTCCTCCCTCCCTCCCTCCCTCTCTCCCTCCCTCCCTCCCTCCCTTCCTTCCTTCCTTCCTTCCTTCCTTCCTTCCTTCCTTCCTTCCTTCCTTCCTTCCTTCCTTCCCTTGCCTGCTTGCTTTTGGCCACATCAGCAACATCAGGGTGAGGGTCGCCTTCCCAGGACAGTGTTCACAGGTCATGCTCTGTGATGCTCAAGTCCTCCCATATGCAATGCACACTTTCCTTTTTTCTTACTCCTATAATTTATCTCCAGTCCTTCAAGTTAAGGGACCCAGCACCTGGTCATCCAGGAAGCACTCAGCTGCTTAGGAGCTCTGCTGCTATGCCCAGGCCCACCCCACTGCTGAGTCCCTTATAATCCCTTGGCTATTCTATCCCATCATCTCACCTCTTCTTAGAACTGAAATTCCATCCAGCTGAGTCATTTCTCAAATATATTCACTAGCACATTCAAAATGACTGATGACTATCCATCACTCACTGCTTTGTGATATTCAAAGCTTAGATTGATTCTTCAAGTCTTTCCCATTTCTCCCGTCCATGCCTTGAACCAAAGTGCTCTCCCTTTTTAAAAAAATTAATTCATTTATTTTATTATTATTATTATTATTATTATTATTGCCTTTTGGGTCACACCCAACAATGCATAGGAATTACTCCTGGCTCAGGCACTCAGGAATTACTCCTGGCGAGGCTGGAGGGACCATATGGGATGCTGGGAATTGAACCTGGGTCGGCCATGTGCAAGGCAAACACCCTACTCACTGTGCTATTGCTCCAGCCCCAGAGCTCTCCCTTTTGTACTTCTGCCTAAACTTTTTGATCGCCTCATGTTGTCTTTATCTCCTGGGAGGAGGAAAAAAAAATCTATGTTCTCTCCAATGTGTTAAATATTCAAATATTTGCTAAGTGCCTGATGCCCTCTTTCTGTTCTTTTTCAGTAGCACCGCCCCCCTATAGTTACGACCAGGAGATGGAATATTGTGCGGACTTGCCTCCTCCATACTCCCCCGCTCCTCAGGCCACAGCGCAGCGTTCTCCACCTCCTCCTTATCCTGGAAATTCACGGAAGTAATCCTTCTCTCCAGAGCCGCACATGTGCAAATCAGAGCCCTGGAGGGGATTAAAATGCCGCAACTCAGAAACAGAGAGGGAAGGACAGCTGTAAGGAATACTTGGCTCCATTAAACAATATGCTGAGAAGAATGTTCAGGCTAAGAAACACAGTGTTTCTACTCAGAGCTAACCTCATCTGGAGTATTTTATGTGCTTGGATGGGAATACATTGAAGAATCTCGGGATCCGCAAAAGCACAAAGAACTGTAATGAAATAGACCCCAGAAAAGTCTGGAAAACACATTGCTTAAGAAAATTATACCATCGATCCTTTGACTCTGGAAGTGAGAAGATCCAAGAGTATAGACTAAACAACATAAAGAAATAGCAATCTTCTGTGTTGTTTTAACAGTAATGATGAGAATTGTTCTTTCCTTCACTCACGAATTAATCCAGATCCAGTGCCGGGGTGCCCATTCTGTGTTTTATGCTCTTTGAAGCACTAGGATGGAAGTTACAGGAAGGGAATTTTGGTTTCACCATAAGGAGTAATTGAAACTTTTTTTTTTGGTCACTAGGACGCTTTGTGAAGACCCCAAAATAGAACTTAGAAGACTGTCAGGCAGAAAGATGTTCTAGAAGGGATAGGTAAATGAAATGTAAGTAGACTCCATGGGTTCCAGTTCTGCTAATGTTTTAGGTAGATGTAAGATGCAGTTCTGTATCTCTAGGAATAAAAACAACAGGAAAAGTTGAAGACTATTTAACTGGAGACTTAGAGGAGAATCAGAAGTACTTTAATAGCTGCATGAAGCTAAGAATCCTTCAGCGCTACTGCTAGCTAAAAATCATGACTTTATTTAGAATATTAGTAGAATATAAATTTATTTAGAATAAAAATCATGACTTTATTTAGAATATAGGGGTTATTCCAAATGTGAACCAAAAAACGAAGTTCCACCAACACCAAATTTACCGCCTTGGATTAAAAGATAAGAAGCCAAATATCCCCATGAGACCTTCCTTCATAAAGTAAAATCTCAGAACTTGACCATGAAATATATTGCAGCTTACAAAAGAGAAGAATGAAAAGAGAAATTTGAATTCTCTTCTGTAGAATTCTATTTGCATGTAACTTAAAGTTTGTTTTACTTTTGTACTATCTTAAATCATTGCTATACAGTTAATGAACAAGTTAAGATATTGACATCAAATTGATGCCTTTTGCCAAAATTCCAATTTTATGACGTGCCTTCCTTTAGGTGTGAACAGCTTTTAATAACTGATTCCACTGTGCCATATTTTGCTGCAAGTGCCCTTCACATTTATATTTTCATACGAGTACTTTTTAATATATTCAAAATTATACATTGAACAAAAATTGGAAACAAATGACCAAATATTTTTGTCACATTGCAATTCAAACTTTTTAATCAAGCATCATCATAATAATTCAGTGAAATTACAAAGAGATGCTAAGAAATTTACTGAATAAAACATATAAATGTCTTTAGGTATAAATTATGTTTTCCTTACTTTGCAGTTACAAATCTTACTAGTTAGGCAGTATATTTTACTTTTAAATGCATTGATCTGATAGAAATACAGTCTAAATGCCAAAGAGATCTAAAAGTTAGGTATATTTTAAATGGCTTACATGATTTTTCAGGCATAGATTATTTTCTCGAGAAGACACAAAGTATCCCAGACTTTCAGCCTATTCTAGTGACTGAGACTTTAGCACAATTTAAGAGTCCATATGCTTTAATTTATCTCTGTTCTGCAAATGAGTAGACCAATTACACTGTAGCTATGCAACTCGAGTGCCAGGCTCTCTGTGAATTTCAGAATGTTGGTTGTAAATGCAGCATATATTCCTTGAGGAAAAGAATGGAGAGAAAAACAAAAAGAACAGTGGGAATTGAATCATTATCATCTTTGCTGTCAGTAAATATCCATCATGTTCTTCTGTTTCTGTAAACATTTGCCATATTGGAGCCATTTCGGTCCATATCATCTCTTTTCTTTGAATTGTTTTATGGCCTCCCTCAAGGTATATCACAAACCCATAGAGCTACAATAGATAAATCTTTTTGCTATTTGTATTGAATGTCACAATACCAAAAAAGTACACATTTTTCAGTATAGATATTTGGAGTTCAGTGATGATTTTTGTAGGAAATTTATCTTGAGGGAAAATATATATGATGTGAAAACTTCAGATTATAGTTATTTAAGAACTAATGTATTTGCTGGGGCCAAAAATTTTACAGAAAAAATAAAAATTGTAACAGGAATTATATCTTGATTGTCTTATATCCTTTGTGGCACCCTTTATGCTCATTTGGTTAGTCTCATTCTTTTGTAAGGAAAGACAGTACTGAAGCCAGAAATTTTATTTCCAGACCTATCTTGTGTCGTAAGGAAGAGCATTTCCTGTCTATAAAACTATCTCTTTTATCTCTGTAAAACTTTCTGCTCTGAAATATATAACATAATCAGCTCCATTAAGTTTTGTGAAAATTCCATGAACACATGCAAAAGTCTGCGTTTAAAGATTTTTTAAAATATTGTTTTATTAAAAAACCAAAAGAATGACTTGGAACAGCAGGTAGGACATTTGTCTTGCAAGGAGACAACTCAGGTTCAATGACCAGCACCCCAGAGGATCCCCCAAGTCCACCAGGAGTGATCCCTGAGCACAGCTAGTTGTGGCAAAAATGAATAAAAATTTAAAGAATTATCTAAGCATGAAAGCCCCTGAAACAATACTGCTCACACATTAGCCACCAGTTGCATATGGTTATTTAGTCAAGTGCATTCAACTAAATAAAATTTCAGTTCTTCATACTCACTAGTCATAATTCAAAGGCTGCCTTGCTTAATGTGGCTGGTGGCTATTTTCCTGTCAAGTGTGACTCCTAAAGCCCTGTGGAAAATGCAGTAAGATTGCAGGAGAAAGGTGAAGCTCCTACAGGCCAGCTTAAACAGAAAACAAAGTATGGACTTTGCCAGTTAATTACAAAGTCCTTTACAAATGTGGGTAAAGGACCAGGATTGTCCAGCTCAGACCTGCATGAGAACCACCCACAATGAAAAAGAGGCCCACGGGATCTCCTCAAGGTCAAGAGTGAGGCAGCTGTAATGAGAGCTAAAGGATTGAGTAGAAAAGAGGCCTTGGAATCAATCTAGGAGCAGGTGAGACTGGCCACATCCTGTTCTCAGAGCCTAATGGATTCTACAGTTGTTCTGCTCACGTCTGGAACTTTCTACTGCTACATTGAGGCTGTAGGCCATGCACGTTTTCCTAAGGGATAATCTTGTTCCCACTGCCAAATATAAGCAGCACTCCCACTCTCACCTCCCATCTTCTTGGTTATCCAAAACCATTTCGATAACTTTTGGTTGCGGAGTTCAGCTACCTCGTGAACCCATCCAATAGTGGAGCTCTGGGTACTATTGCTTTCATTTCTTAATTAAAATAACCTAACACAACTACATCAAAGTTACACGGTCCCCTTAGTCATCACTGTAGAATCCTCTTCGTTCTGCTGGATGCCTAATCAAAACCTGGTAGAAATATCACTGTATCACTGTCATCACTGTCAATGTCACTGTCATCCTGTTGTTCATCGATTTACTCGATGTACACCAGTAATGTCTCTATTCCACCCAGCCCTGAGATTTTAGCAGCTTCTCCTTACTTGTCTTTCCCAACGATTGAAGTCTCTTTCAGATTCAAGGGAATGAGCCCTGTCATTACTGTTTTTGGCATATCGAATATGCCACGGGGCTCTGCCCATGTGGGCAGGATTCTCTCAGTAGCTTGCCGGGCTCTCCCAGGGATATATATATATATATATATTGCTTCCAAAATATATAAATAACACCATGCTCTCCAGAATGGTACAATGATGATACAATGATGATAAATACTAGACCTACATCTGTCTTAAAGATCCTAATGAGTTGGTGATTCAGACAAAAACATGCATATATATGTGTGTGTGTGTATGTGTGTGTGTTTGCGTGTGTATCTATATATACATACACATTTACATATAAATTCACATATATACACCTTTTAATGTATCCATATACACCTTTTTAAATTATTTTTTATTAAATCACAGTGAGATACACAGTTAAAGTTGTTCATTTTTGAGTTTCAGTCATACAATGTTTTATCATCCATCACTTCACCAGCATATATTTCCCACCACCAATGCACCAATGTCCTCAGTTTCATTCCCACCCCCTCTCCCCAGCCTGCTTCTATGGCAGGCACTTTTCTTCTCTCTCTCTGTCTTTCTCTGTTTCTCTCTCTCTGTGTCTCGGCCTCTGTCTCTGTCTCTCTCTCTCCTCTCTTTCTCTTTTTCTTTCTCTTTCTCTCTCTCTCTTTCCTTTTGCACATTATGACTTGCAATGCAGGTACTAAGAGGTTATCATGATTGTCCCTTTACCTACATTCAGCACTCAGCTCTTGTTCAGAGTGATCATTTCCAACTACCCTTGCCATAGTGGTCCCTTCTCTATCCTCTCTCCACCACCACTTGTGGCAAGCTTCCAACCAAGCTCCTGGCCCTTGTTTCTACTGCCCTTGGTATTATTAGTCTTGCAGTGTACTTTATATCCCACAAATGAGTCCAATCCTTCTATGTCTGACCCTCTCCCTGACTCATTTCCCTCAGCATGATATTTTCCATGTCCTTCCATTTACAAGAAAATTTCATGATTTCTTTTTTTCTGATATACACCTATTTTCTTCCAACCTTTATTCCTTCACTTCCAAGCCTGACTTCCTCTAATAATAATTTGCTACCCATTGCTGCGGATAAAAAATTATCTGGGTATGTATAGCAGGGTCCTTTGACTTAGGGACTTTCACAGGGTACAAGACATCTCTGTGCAACTGAGTAAGAGTCTGTTTCCAAACTGACTCGCTGTGTATGAGCCAAAATAGCCCTCCAAAAAAGAACCTCTCCACTGGGCAAAGTATTTTAACTTGCATCCCTGGACCAACAAATCAATGATAGAGGTAATAAATGTTAGTGCAAGAGAGGGGTCTCAGACTTTAAGATCTAATCTTAGGCATGACAAATCATCTTTTTTTGGCCATAGTCTTCTATTCTTGAGAATTTTATCACTAGATAAAAGCTGCAGAAAATGAAGGATTACATGTGGGCATAAAATTTATGAACTGGAGAACATTAAGAATCATGCTAATGTTACTTGAACCATTAGTCAACTTCCATAGCAGGGATATTTGATCCCATTCTTTTAAATCACATAGCTTGGAGATTAGACACCCTTCACTCTAAGAGGAATGAACCAACTCAACAGCTGAAAGAATTCCAGGGTTATGTTAAACTGTGATCAAATTGCTTTCATTAAAATGGGATGGAAAAGAGTTGGCAACCTCGAAAAACTATGATAATTGGGCAAGTTTCATATTCCGAAGGAATTTTTAGGAGACATGTATCTGTTATTCACATTTCATTTATGCACTGTGCAAAAAACACATAAATTTTGGCAGAGAATGAGGTTTACCTCATACCACATACCTTATGGACAAGTATTAACATGGTCCCAGTTCTAACTTTTGTTCAACTCTGTTCCAAGATATTCAATCTTCGTCAAGAAAAGAATTTCAAAACATGTTTCTAGATTAATGTTCAGAGAATCAAGTTGCTGCCTAACCTAATCCTAAACACCTTCACTAAAAGTGGAAAAATTCAAAGAAACTATAGAAATACGTGCTCCAGAATATTTGCCCTCTCTGGAACCATTAAGAAATAATTGGTTTTAAAATATGGCTTAGAGTTATGTACTTTGATTTCTGTTTCCTTTCTGCTTTTCCTTTTCAACACCAGTTGACAGAAGCTTTTGAGCATCTACCAGTTCCTCAAGTGAAGTGGAAGTAAAATAATCATTTTCTGAGTTGCACTTGGTCATAGATAATAATTGAATAATATATCTCACATTGTCTTGAAGGTCTAAAAGTTTGATCATTTATTTTCTGACTGAAATACACAGAGAATCAATTGAGCAGACTCTCCTACCTTTGTATCTTACTATAAACGATAGTCTTGATTATCCCATATCTTGTACATTATCTTCTCTGTACATCCCAGTGACTTGAAAAGCCATTGGGTGGATTAAGTCATTAGAATGCAAGTTCTCCTACCTTGTCTGTGAACATATTTGAAAAATTGCCCCTGGATCTCTCAGTCTACACAACACAGACACCACATCACCTTGCCTGGGGATAGTCATTTGCTTCTTCTATGGAACTCTTCATAATTTCCAGAAGTAGCAAAGAATACATGCTTATCTTTCCAGATATAACTAAAGGACCAATCTATGATGAGGAAAGGCCTGATAATTTTAGCAGTCATTATTTTTACACAATGCTGTCCTTTTTGAACTTATTTTGCATCTCCTTGATCCCATGTCACAGGTTTATTGAATATATCTCTTTCCCCCATGACTCAATGAGTACTATGATTTTTCTTTGTTTGGGGGTCAGATCCTGTTGTGCTAGGGCCTTGTTTCTGGTGCTGTGCTCAGGGATGACTCCTGGAACTTGGGGAACCAAATATGGTGCTATGGATTGAACCTAAGTTGGCCTCATGCAAGGCAGGCAATCTAACTGCTTTACTATCTCTTTGGCCCATAGATCTTTGAAAGCATGAAATGTCTTTTATACTTCCCTTTCCTGCTCCCCATAAGGGTATCTCTAGGCGATTTGGAACATGAAGTAAATATATCTAGTCATAAAATAAAATTTAGCAATAAAAAATAATGGAATAACTAAGAATTAGAGGGGAAAGATGAGTGTGGCTTGTGTAAGAGGGTCTGTCAGAGAGTGAAGAAATGGCTGCTTTATTGACATTTTTATTGAAGATGAATATCAGTCCAGACACAGGTGTGTTGTTAGTAAGCGTAGGGTTAGAACATGTCTGCTCAAGTCTGTGAGCGTACCATGATTCACTCAGTGAGAACATGACAACACACCAGTTGGGGAGAAACAGTTTTATAATTCTTCAAATTAAAATTGAGATTCTATTATGTAGAAAGCAAACCAAACAAACATCAGGAAGGAATTGACTCATAAATAACATTTTTGTAGTGTGCATTCTAATGTAGACTTTAGTTGCTTTATCCAAAGTCTCTGCTATAGGCATTTTTTATTAAAATAAGATTTCATAGTTGTCACATTGCCACTTTTTTCAGTACATGTTGAAAAGAAGTAATTCATATTATAAAGTTTCATTGTATTCCAAAAAGAAACAAAAGTAC